CTTCTATTACCTATGACAGTATATTCATGTTGGTGGGATACTCTCCCACCTTCAGTGATACACTGGGGATAAGCTATGGCTTCATATATTTCCCAGTGCACTACATGTAATTTACACAATTACAGTATTGACCTTGAATCCATTCGTTTGTTTGTTTGTTTGTTTGTTTGTTTTTAGGTTTTTGCCATAGGGCACGTGCGCTCACCAGAGAGAAATGGAGGGAAAGAGATCACCACCACCCACATGGGGTATGGCCACATCACAATCCCTTCTTCTCCATACTCCTTTTGGGATTTGGGGCACACAAAATATGTCCAGCATGGTTCTCATGCCCAGGGTCAAGGACTCAGACTACGAATGGCCACATGGAAGTATGGCGCCTTAACTACCACATCTACTACTGGCCACAATTCCACTCCAATTTATTTTTGAAAAGTAAATTATTCATAGATTGTATTATTTTAATCACTATTGAAAATATTAATACTTGCACAAAACCTCTTCATTAATAGCAACATGTTACCTAATATCACCATTGGACTGTTGGAAAACCATTATTCTCCATTATATCCTTAGTTTACATAAATTGTCTAACTTATTGGCATAAAGTTGTTCATAAAATTATTTTGTCTTTATTAATTTATTTATTTATAATTTTTCAGGGGGTTTATGTGCTTGTGTGAGAGAGAAACAGAGAAAAAGAGAAGGGGAAGGAGAAAGCAATTATTAATGGTGTATGGTCATGCTGTAATTCCTTTTTATCTCTCCATCCCATTGGGATTTGGAGCATACATGCACACATGCCTGATGGTTTTTCAAGCCACAGGTTTGGGACTCCAACTGTCCAGTTGGCTATATGAGATCTGGTTCCTTTAACCGCTGTCCAGTTGGCTACATGGAATCTGGTTCCTTTAACCACTATGCCATGGGGTTGGCCCTATCCTTTAAATATTCATAACAGCTATCCTCCTTTCATTCTTAAACCTGGAACTTTGTGTCATCTCTCTTTCATTGATCAGTCTGGCTAGGGAGGTATATTGGTTTTATAATCTTTTCAAAGAAATGACTTTCAGTTTCATCAATGCATCAATGTACCTATTTGTTTATATATTTTTTCTTTTATTTTTACTCTTATAATCTCTATTATTTCCTTCTTCCTGTTCATGTTGAGTTTAAGTTGTTCTTAACCTAAAGTTAAATTTTAAATAGCTGTTTTTAGGTCTTTACTCCTAATTTAAGTATTTTAAGGCTTGCATTAAGCCTCACTATAAGGCTTATAAGATAAGATGAATTTGTAGTCACTTCTTTATCTGCATTTCACAAATTCTGATATGTTGCATTTTCATTATCATTTAGTTCAATGTAATTTCTAATTTTTTAATAATAAATTAGATGTGTGGGTTATTTAGAATGTGCTATTCAACTACAAAATGTTCAGAGAGTTTCAGAGGTTGACATGGTGTTGATTTTTAGTTAAATTTTTGTGGGAAGACAATAAAATTTGTATAAATGTAATCCTTTTAAATTTATTGAAATTAGCTTGGTGGCTCGGGATATGGTATATGATGGTGAATGTTCTATGTGGATTTTTAAAAAAGGTAATCCACTATTGCTGGATGGAATGTTTTATAAATGTGGAGTAGGTCAAATTGGTTGGTAGGGCTATTTCAAGGTATTACTAATTTTCTATCTACTTATCCTATCAATTACAAAGAGAAAGTATTGAAATTCTCAAGTACAATTATGATTTGTCAACCTCTCCTTTTACTGGTATTAGTTTTTGCTTCATCCTATTTTGAAACATTTATCCTAGATATATAAACATGTTTTTATATAGTGGGACAGACTGTGGCACTGTGGTGATGCCACTTGACTCACATAAGACTGTCCCTGATCTGTGTCCCCTGCATGCAGGGAGTGAGAATGACTATGGTCCATGCCTACTGTCCAGACTGGCTGAAGTTGGGGTGGCAGATGAGGTTGGGCATGGATTGTGGAAAGAAAACCCTGTGATGGTGCCTATCTTTACCTTTTTCTCTCTGTCTCTCCTGATGAATTTCTTCCTTCCTTCCTTCTTTCTTTCTGTTTTTGTTTCTGTTAAAGGATGCATGCACTCGCCAGAGAGAGAGAGAGAAAGTGAGAAATAACCCCCTGGGGGGATGGCCATGCTGCAATCCCTTCTTTTCTATTCTATTTTTAGGATTTGGGCACACAGACATGTCTGGAGTATTTTCCAAGGCACCAGGTTTTGGACTCAGACTGCAAGGTCAGCTATATGGGATCCATCCTCCTTATCCACTATGCCATCTGGCTGGCCCACCTCTTGATGAATTTCAATCATTATGAAATGTGCTTCTTCAACCTTATTAATATTTCCTGTGAAGTCTACTTTCTCTGCTATTAATACTGTCACTTGAGCTTCTTTTATGAGATATATTAAAGTATAATTTACATATAAGATTTACCAATTTTAAGTATAAAAACAGATGAATTTTGAGAAATGCATAAACATGCAGTTGTGTAACCACCATCATCACAATCATGACATGAAATATTTCCATCACTTCAAGAAGTTCTTTTCAGGGCTGGCAGGTGTTGTGGTGGTTAAGGGTGCTGGACTCCCACATGGTCGACCGTGGTTCGATTCCTGGACCTGGTGGCTTGCTTTCTCACTTTCTCTCTCTCTCTCCCTCTCTCTTTCTCTTCCCACTCTGGTCAAATTAAAATAAATTAATTAATTAAATTAAATTATTCTTTTTTCTAAAAAAAAGAATTTTTGGATTGGGCTTCTTCCACTTAGCATAATGCATTTGAGATTCATCCATACCGTTAGTTTGCTTTTTGTTATTGCTAAGCCATAGTCCATTGTATGGATATATCACATTTTACTTATCCAGTACCAGTAGAGTAACATTTGGGTTTCCTTCTGTTTGGAGCCATTATAAAACGCTGCTATCAAATTTGCATATAAGTTTTTAAATGGAAATGTGGTTTTGTTTCCCTGCGTAAATACCTGAGTGTGCTATTGCTGGGACATACGGTAAAACTTGTATTTGAAATCTGACAATGATGATTTGGGACTTTCTTTCCTAATCAAACTCCTAATTAGTACAACAGATAAGAAATAATGAACCAGATGAAAGAGAGGACTATTCAACCACACCTTGATACCTTTAAGTAGGTATTAGCGGCCTCAAGGCCCAATAGAGGCCACTTGTAGCCAGGGAAACCGGCAAGAAAATTCACAAATGAAATCCTGATCTTGATTCTATTGCATGATTTTCTTTTCAATTTAGGATAAGATAACTTTTGAGAACGTCAACACTTGCAGCTGTTGCGTGTGTGCAATTCAGTATACCCTTGACATTCAAATGACATAAGACAGTCAAGTACCATATTTAATTGACAGAAATTACTTTTTAAGTGTACAAAAGGTTTTCCGTATAACCCCAAATGATTACTAAATGATTACTGCCCATGTAATCTGGGACTCTACTAATGGCTTTGTTAATTATTCGTCCCTGCTGCAGACCTCAGTATCCGTTTAAAGTGGTTAGAATTACCTGCCCACCCTGGCTCCCAGGCTCTCAGCTGTAACTGAGAAAAGTAAAGAACTCAGGAACTGAGGACGCACAGGTAACGGTCCTGGCTGGTTGGCAAAATCTGACATTTAGAATCGCCTTGCGGGTCTGGGCCTCGGCTGCCTTTGACAGGCGGGCGTGTCAGAGACAGTGTGGAGAACCCGCTGGGCTCCGCCCCGCAATGCGCGACGACGCCCTTGCCTTGGCCTTCACTGAGCATAACCCGAGAAGCCCACCCACCCGCGCGGCCGCCGCCCCGCCGCCGGTTCGCATCCCGAAGTCTGTGGGCAGGTGTGCACGGTGCGCGCGCACCCAACGAGTGCCAGTGTGGAGCCAGCGGGCGGAGGGCTGCTGGGCGCCCCGTGGAGGGCTGGCGGGCTGGCGGGCTCGGTGGGTATCGGCCTCCGGGCCTCCCTGCCTCCTGCCTCCCTCCTGGCGCCTAGCGCTTGCGGAGGATGCTCGCGCGCGGCTCCCCCGTGCCCCTAAGCTCCGGGCCCGGGCACCGGGCGCC